TTCATATAGCAGATGATGTAACTCATATAGGATGTTCATTGACATCATTTTCGGCATTTCCATTTGAAAATTTTTTGATGACTTTAAAAAATTAGTTCGTACACCAAATAATCCTTTAAGTCAAGTTGCAAATCGTTTAAAAGAAATTAATTTAAATACTAATATAAAGATTGTTCAATCTATATCAGTTACAGATTATGTTAAAAAGAAATCAATATATTTAGGCAATCATATGACAAAAATAATATTTAAAAGTATAACATGGAATAAAATGATTATTACAAATACATCTCCTAATAACATTGTACAACTAAAAAATGGCAATATCATACAAATTGATAAAATTTATTCGTTAAAAAATGATGTTTTAAATCAAGAAAAATTATCACTAAAAGGATCGTTATATTATGATACAAGAGATGTTTTTAACTATCCTTATAAATCATCTAATGTCGGTTTATGGCAAGTTAATTTAAGCAAATACCGTTGCGTTTTTCATGTTAAAGAAATTAAACATAAATGCGTACTTTTAAACATTAAGAATATTATGTATTGTACAAAATTATTACACGCTTAAATTTTCTTAGTTTGTAAATGTTTTAATAAATGTACATAAATGTAATCAATATGTACATTTAATTTTTTATTACCGTATAAATAAATATTTTAATACATTTCGATTTCGCTATCGATAGTTTCTGTATATGCATTTGTTTGTTGACTGCGGAACCTCGTTCTGGCATCATTGCTGTTATGTGTCAAAGCGTATAACTGTATATTTTTCTTGTATATCTTAATTTACGTGACAAAAAGTGAAACTATATTTTAGTCCAGTGTATTATTAAGTCTAGTGCAGTGCAGTGCTATAATTCGCATCAACCATGAATGATTTTTCATATTTGTGAGTACACGTATTTTTTCAATTTATTGGTAATTATGTTATTGTTAATTTTCAAAATAAAATACGTCATATTATTGACTTAAAAGCTTTTTTTACCAATAAAGAAAAATAATCGTAATTTATTATTCATATAATTTATTATATATAGAACTGAACTAAGTGATAATGTTACGCACGTAGTCGTCTGCTTTACTAGTATTCGGCGTCAAAATAAAAAATTATGTATAGATCTTGTACACACCAAAAGAATGGTTATTAAAACTTAAACGCACATGGTTTTGCAAATATCCGCCAAAATTAGAGTACGATAAAGTACAAGAATGGAGTAAAGAAAATAAAGCTCCAAAATTAACATGGAAGAAATATCCTGTTAAATTAATAAAAAATGCTAGTAAGTACAAATTAAAAAAAGTAAAATAAAAAATACATTGAATTATTTACGTTATATTATAGATAATTTCGATCAGGGACTACGTCGTATGACACGCATTTCAGAAGACACTGTTGTACTTCCAAGTGAAGTATCTGATATAGATGCTGAAGAATTGTCAGATACAGCATCAGATAAATCAAGTAAAATCAGTGATTTTGAATTTCAATCGTTTTCAAGTCAAAAAATTGTAAAAGAAAAAATTACGGAAATAGAAGAAGGTATTTATTGTTTGTAAACATGTTTGAAATTCGTAGATTTATACATTTATAATTAATATTTTTATTTCGTAGATAATGACGTCCCAAGCAGTTCATCAGAATCAGTTACTTTTAAAAATAACAAAAGTTTATTTGCAATGCAAGATTTGACAACCAAAAAAAAGAACAAGCGTAAAGCGACTCTCTCTCTCTCTGACAAAGCCAAAAATTTAAATCTATTGCAAAAAATAAAATTACACAATAATTGTATAGAAAATAATGGTGTAGTATTATTTAACAATTAAGATTACTTAAAAAAACTTTTACAATAATATAACTTAGATTTTCTTATAATAAATAAATAAATAAATAAATAAATAAATAAGTTAATAAATAAATAAATTAATAAATTAAGAATAAATACTTATTTGTTTTTC